GGTTTCTGCTCCAACATCCTGCCCATTGGATACATTTCAGTGGGCTAACTTTGGAGGGTTTGGCTTTCTTTCCATTTAAGAAGGGGGGGAATTGGAACATCTGTAGTATCTTTTTGCAAGCAGACAACATTTGCTCTTGTTCAAGAAGGCTGTTCCCTCCCGCAATACATTTTCTTACTACTCTGGAGGTTCTCCACGCCCCTAGAGATGCTCCGAGACACACTTTGGTAAATTCGTTGCCCTAAAAAAGCACTTCTCCTGCAGAACAACTGCTCTCCAATTTACCGCCTTCATTTCAAAGAAGAAATTTACACCTTGGTATCCCTGGTACTTTCAAAGATAAGAGAACACTAGTGCTAGTTTCAGAACCATGCCAGTCAGGAGGTCGTAAAACTCCCAGTGCTTCTAGGCATACAAAGGTTGTGGGAATTCTGCTCCAATGTGTGTGGGGGAGGGGAGCGGGGGGAACAGCACATGAAATGGTGTTGCTTTCATCAGACTGCAGACTGCCTACAGCTGAAAAACCCATTTCCTTAAAGCATTAGATGGCCCATGGACCTCACCACATTCTGAGCCAGTAGTTTGTCCAAAAGAATAGCTTGGTGTGGAACAGAAGACGACATAAAAGAAAGGAAAGAGGAGGATGAGGGAAACGCCTACAAGGAGGGGATGTAGAAAACAGTCCTTTGGGGGCATAATTCTATTGTCTCTCAGATTCCCCACAAAGATGTTCATTAGAGACTTCCTTAGTACCCAGCCCACCCAGATCCACGGGGTGTGGGCTGGTGAGAAGATTTGGCCCTATGGAAGGGGCTTTACAAGTGAAAAGTTACACAGCTGCCATGAAATGAGGCTTTGTTTGAGATATGTACTCTTCAAAGGGCATTCTGATTCACACGTCTCTGTGCAAGAGACCCCATTTTGGTGCACCACTCCCTGGCCAGAAATGCATAGCCTCAGATACACAGCTATCATTTTGGACAGTCACATGCCTCTCCAGTCTAGTGGAACTGTACACCACCAGGAAGTGTAACTAGCTAGGTTTACATCAGTCAAGTATGCAGACAATTAATGGAACAAAATGAGAATTCTCTGATCATTTTGAGAAGTGTCAGACAACAATCTTAGCACCAGCACCAAAACACATCAATACAAAGTACTGGGGGCAAGACAAGGCCACATTACTGCCACAAAAAGCTGACATTTAGATATTTAAGAAGCGGTCAGAAATTTGCCCTTTTCCTTGGGATTCAGTCATAAATGTAAATTACTACTCAAAATATTTCATGTTAATTCATTTTTACAAACAGCATTGTGCAAGATAGCTAAGCAAAAAATTATGCTGCCCAATGCTCTAGGAATGGTTTTGAATTACTTTGCAGAAATGTCTGGTTCTCCAGGGGTTATACGAACTTGCCAGTGTTGTCTTCAATACTTCAATTCATTACCAGATTCTGTTTACCAGACAAAAGCCCCAATATAGAAAATGGCACTATTATTGTGCTTACCTTGCGGGGTTTTTAATTGACACATTGCCTTTATCATAGTTATACCAAGAGGAGGGGGAGACTGATCCCAGAAAGGAATCCACTGTCCAGTAGTCAGGGCACTAGCTTAGGGTTTGAGTTCAAGTCCCTGCTCTGCCACAGATGTCTTGTGTGACCTTGAGCAAGTCCCTTAGCCTCTGCCTCAGTTCCCCCTCTGTAAAATGGGGATAGCGGAACTTCCTTACCTCACACGAAAGCAGGATAAATGGATTTAATATTGTGAGGTACACAGACCCTATAGTATTAGGGGCCATATAAGTACTAACATAGATAAATCACTGAGCCTAGATCCAAATCCTCAGGAAAGAAAGTTCAGAACCAAGGTTTGGCCACATATATTTGAATATCCCATATTGTTCTCATGCAATGAAGTACATAATGAGAGGATGCACAGGCTATGCTATATGGAAATGTGCCCATTAACTAGACAGCAATGAGATGGATGTTAGGTGAAAGCCAGACTCATAACCAAGAATCATTTCATAGATACCATAAACCATTGTATTGTATATGCTTGTCAACAGCAGGTGATGAAATCCTTCATCTTATTTACTAACTGCTCTTAGTGTGAATTACTATGGCTGTCATCTCTCTCTGCTTACAGCCAGAAACTTAGACCATCTGCTGTTCATTACCACCTACCCAGTGTATACACAGATATTGTAACCAGACTTTAGACACCAAGCATCGTCTTCATTTGTGTGACAGGCCTACCTTCAACATAGCAGACACTGTTATTCTGGGCCCAAAGTCTGGCCTTCCTATGGTCTCCAGTACAGCTCCTGCCCAGAACGACTCGGGTGAGACATGTGGGGAGTAATTAATCAAGCATCTGAACTAAACCTACACTGATCATAACCCGGACACCTGGGTTACTCTGTCCGGAATGACCAAGTCGCAGAGAACCTGTGAAATGTCAACTCCTCAGAGTTTGACAAAGCCTGGAACTTGGCCGCCCCTTTTCTCCCGTATGCCTGGCTCGTGGCACTAACTGTTCATAGATTCATTCTGATTGGCTACAAGTATTATCACTGTCTGCTGATGTCATACCCATCTTTTAACTGCCTATGCCATATAGGTCTGACAGCACATGGTTTAGATTCTACGTGGCAAGCATGCACCAGCAAATTCGTTAAGGGTGACTAAGAAAGTTTTCACTCTCTTCAATTTTCCCAGTGGAACTGGATCAAGCAGAGTTTTATAAAAGCCATCTCACCCACTGTGGAAAAAATGGTCTGTAAGTGCATCACTAACATGCAGCCTGAAAACAGAAGAATGCATATGAACACTAGAACAGCTCTTAATCCTTTGCAGCAGCAGATGCAAAATGCTTATAAACTTCTGCAGCACTCTATGGCCCCCAATCCTGAGGGGTCTGATTGCCTGACTATTCATCTTCACAACATTGTGAGGCATTTTACAGGTGGGAAACTGAGGCACAGAGACACTAAATAACATGCCCACAGTCATGCAGGAAGTCTGTGGTAGAACTGGAAACTGAATTTGGGAATCCCAAATCCCAGACTACCACCATAACCATTGGGCTGTCCTTCCTCTCCAAGCTCCCTTTGCCAATATCCCTGTAAGGTGGAGAAATACTTTTCAGAGGTGGAAACTGAGCTGCAGAGAGGAATAGCGGCTTGGTCCAAGTTCACTCAGTGAGTCCATTTCAGAGCCAGGAAAAGAACCCAGATTTTCTGATTCCCCCTGCAGGGGTTTAGCCACACAACGAAGTCCTCACTCCTGGCATTGCATCTGGGAAGATTAGAAACTTTCACAAGGGAAGAGTCAGTGACAGAACCTGACAGAGAGGAGGTGCATGAAAGTCTGACACCATTAGGAATTAACTCCTATACAAGAGCTTAATTTTACAATGGTAAATTAAAAATATTTTCAAGTGAGATGGAGTTGAGCTGCTAAATTCAGTTCTGGATCAGGAACTGGAGGGCAAACATGCACCCATATACACCACTCATGCCCCCCAAATTCAGAGCTGTTTGGATCTGGGCTTTGGGATCAACCCATTGTTTGCTTATATAGGTCTAAAAAGCTCCATAGATACCGTTCTTTGTTCTGGGCAACCGTAACATAAGGCTGATATGTTCAGCACAACAGTCACATCATACAATACAACATAAAGTGTGGTGCACCTGACCTGCACACAGAAATATCCACCAGTCATACATTTCAGCTCTTCCAATGCTCAGCCCATGCCCTCCCCCACAGCCTGGAGAAAAAGATGGCCTTTGTAGAGTGCTCACAGGTTAACAGATCTGAACTCTGGAGAACCAAGGGGGGAAGCAAGTTCCAAAACAGAACTCTCACAGATAAAACTTCGCCAGCAGCTTGAGCATCGCTGCTGATCTCAGCTGGGGCCATCTGGCCCAAGGGGAGAGGTGATTTCTCAGGTAACCAAGGCCAAATCAATTTTGTAGGTTACACACTATGGGAACCTACTTAAATTCCTGCTATGGAGACCGCACGAAGGAAGCAGGCTACAGCATTCTGTGCTCACTTCAGTTTCTGAGCAGCCTTGCATTGCATAAAATCTAATCTAGAGGTATATGAACATTGCATTGCATGAAATCTAATCTAGAGGTGGAACAAACCTGTGTGACCGTCCATGCATCAGAGAAGGGCTGCAGGGTTCTTGTCTGACAGATATATTAAAAAAAGCACATTAAAAAGCCATCTTTGTCACAGCCTTGATCCATCACCGTGCTAGACCCAGCTCCAAAATCCCATTCAGGGCTGTGATTCCAACATCCCCATTCCCCAAACTCAGGAGGGTGGGTTCAGACCAGTCTCCCATTGCCTCAAAGCCGAAAAGATGAGGGCATGGGGGGAAGGGAGGTGAAATGCCAAAGACACGGGAAGAGAGAAATGATTCTACCAGCCAGATGCAGCTCAGTGAACATGACTCAGGAAAGCCAAAGCAAATGTGTATGGTGAACTCTTACCAAACACAGGGTCAGAGCCGGGATACACAACACCTCCTGACTCAGTTTCAATCCTCTGGGGGTTCCAAAGAGTAACTATTGTATGGGTCTCTGTCCCCAAGGTGTCGATCCCAAAGTGTCTTGATACAGTTGGATGTGAACCCTGTAACGTAACAAGATACTTGCTGCTCTAGGCCCTGGTCTACACTAGGACTTTAGGTCGAATTTAGCAGCGTTAAATCGATTTAAACCTGCACCCGTCCACACAATGAAGCCCTTTATTTCGACTTAAAGGGCTCTTAAAATCGATTTCCTTACTCCACCCCTGACAAGTGGATTAGCGCTTAAATCAATGTTGCCGGCTCGAATTTGGGGTACTGTGGACACAATTCGATGGTATTGGCCTCCGGGAGCTATCCCAGAGTGCTCCATTCTGACCGCTCTGGACAGCACTCTCAACTCAGATGCACTGGCCAGGTAGACAGGAAAAGAACTGCGAACTTTTGAATCTCATTTCCTGTTTGGCCAGCGTGGCAAGCTGCAGGTGACCATGCAGAGCTCATCAGCACAGGTGACCATGATGGAGTCCCAGAATCGCAAAAGAGCTCCAGCATGGACCGAACGGGAGGTACGGGATCTGATCGCTGTTTGGGGAGAGGAATCCGTGCTATCAGAACTCCGTTCCAGTTTTCGAAATGCCAAAACCTTTCTGAAAATCTCCCAGGGCATGAAGGACAGAGGCCATAACAGGGACCCGAAGCAGTGCCGCGTGAAACTGAAGGAGCTGAGGCAAGCCTACCAGAAAACCAGAGAGGCGAACAGCCGCTCTGGGTCAGAGCCCCAAACATGCCGCTTCTATGATGAGCTGCATGCCATTTTAGGGGGTTCAGCCACCACTACCCCAGCCGTGTTGTTTGACTCCTTCAATGGAGATGGAGGCAATACGGAAGCAGGTTTTGGGGACGAAGAAGATGATGATGAGGAGGAGGTTGTAGATAGCTCACAGCAAGCAAGCGGAGAAACTGGTTTTCCCGACAGCCAGGAACTGTTTCTCACCCTAGACCTGGAGCCAGTACCCCCCGAACCCACCCAAGGCTGCCTCCTGGACCCAGCAGGCGGAGAAGGGACCTCTGGTGAGTGTACCTTTTAAAATGCTATACATGGTTTAAAAGCAAGCATGTGAAAGGATTACTTTGCCCTGGCATTTGCGGTTCTCCTGGATGTAGTCCTAAAGCCTTTGCAAAAGGTTTCTGGGGAGGGCAGCCTTATTGCGTCCTTCATGGTAGGACACTTTACCACTCCAGGCCAGTAACACGTACTCGGGAATCACTGTAGAACAAAGCATTGCAGTGTATGTTTGCTGGCATTCAACCAAAATCCGTTCTTTATCTCTCTGTGTTATCCTCAGGAGAGTGAGATATAATTAATGGTCACCTGGTTGAAATAGAGTGCTTTTCTTCAGGGGACACTCAGAGGAGCCCATTCCTGCTGGGCTGTTTGCCTGTGGCTAAACAGAAATGTTCCCTGCTGTTAGCCACAGGGAGGGGAGAAGGTTGAGGGGGTAGTCACGCGGTGAGAGGAGGCAAAATGCGACCTTGTAACGAAAGCACATGTGCTATGTATGTAATGTTAACAGCAAGGTTTACCCTGAAAGAGGGTAGCCACTGTTTTATAAAATGTGTCTTTTTAAATACCGCTGTCCCTTTTTTTTTCTCCACCAGCTGCATGTGTTTCAATGATCACAGGATCTTCTCCTTCCCAGAGGCTAGTGAAGCTTAGAAAGAAAAAAAAACGCACTCGCGATGAAATGTTCTCCGAGCTCATGCTGTCCTCCCACACTGACAGAGCACAGACGAATGCGTGGAGGCAAATAATGTCAGAGTGCAGGAAAGCACAAAATGACCGGGAGGAGAGGTGGAGGGCTGAAGAGAGTAAGTGGCAGGCTGAAGAGAGGGCTGAAGCTCAAAGGTGGCGGCAGCGTGATGAGAGGAGGCAGGATTCAATGCTGAGGCTGCTGCAGGACCAAACCAGTATGCTCCAGTGTATGGTTGAGCTGCAGCAAAGGCAGCTGGAGCACAGACTGCCACTGCTGCCCCTCTGTAACCAACCGCCCTCCTCCCCAAGTTCCATAGTCTCCACACCCAGACGCCCAAGAATGCGGTGGGGGGGCCTCCGGCCAACCAGCCACTCCACCACAGAGGATTGCCCAAAAAAAAGAAGGCTGTCATTCAATAAATTTTAAAGTTGTAAACTTTTAAAGTGCTGTGCTTAAAGTGCTGTGTGGCATTTTCCTTCCCTCCTCCACCACCCCTCCTGGGATACCTTGGTAGTCATCTCCCTATTTGTGTGATGAATGAATAACGAATGCATGACTGTGAAGCAGCAATGACTTTATTGCCTCTGCAAGCAATGATTAAAGGGAGGAGGGGAGGGTGGTTAGCTTACAGGGAAGTAGAGTGAACCAAGGGGCGGGGGGTTTCATCAAGGAGAAACAAACAGAACTTTCACACCGTAGCCTGGCCAGTCATGAAACTGGTTTTCAAAGCTTCTCTGATGCGTACCGCGCCCTCCTGTGCTCTTCTAACTGCCCTGGTGTCTGGCTGCGCGTAACCAGCAGCTAGGCGATTTGCCTCAACCTCCCACCCCGCCATAAACGTCTCCCCCTTACTCTCACAGATATTGTGGAGCACACAGCAAGCAGTAATAACAGTGGGAATATTGGTTTCGCTGAGGTCTAAGCGAGTCAGTAAACTGCGCCAGCGCGCCTTTAAACGTCCAAATGCACATTCTACCACCATTCTGCACTTGCTCAGCCTGTAGTTGAACAGCTCCTGACTACTGTCCAGGCTGCCTGTGTACGGCTTCATGAGCCATGGCATTAAGGGGTAGGCTGGGTCCCCAAGGATACATATAGGCATTTCAACATCCCCAACAGTTATTTTCTGGTCTGGGAATAAAGTCCCTTCCTGCAGCTTTTGAAACAGACCAGAGTTCCTGAAGATGCGAGCATCATGCACCTTTCCCGGCCATCCCACGTTGATGTTGGTGAAACGTCCCTTGTGATCCACCAGAGCTTGCAGCACTATCGAAAAGTACCCCTTGCGGTTTATGTACTCGGCGGCTTGGTGCTCCGGTGCCAAGATAGGGATATGGGTTCCGTCTATAGCCCCACCACAGTTAGGGAATCCCATTGCAGCAAAGCCATCCACTATGACCTGCACATTTCCCAGGGTCACTACCCTTGATATCAGCAGATCTTTGATTGCGTGGGCTACTTGCATCACAGCAGCCCCCACAGTAGATTTGCCCACTCCAAATTGATTCCCAACTGACCGGTAGCTCTCTGGCGTTGCAAGCTTCCACAGGGCTATCGCCACTCGCTTCTCAACTGTGAGGGCTGCTCTCATCTTGGTATTCATGCGCTTCAGGGCAGGGGAAAGCAAGTCACAAAGTTCCATGAAAGTGCCCCTACGCATGCGAAAGTTTCGCAGCCACTGGGAATCGTCCCAGACCTGCAACACTATGCGGTCCCACCAGTCTGTGCTTGTTTCCCGAGCCCAGAATCGGCGTTCCACAGCATGAACCTGCCCCATTAGCACCATGATGCATGCATTGTCAGGGCCCATGCTTTCAGAGAAATCTGTGTCCATGTCCTGATCACTCACGGGACCGTGCTGACGTCGCCTCCTCGCCCGGTATCGCGTTGCCATGTTCTGGTGCTGCATATACTGCTGGATAATGCGTGTGGTGGTTAATGTGCTCCTAATTGCCAAAGTGAGCTGAGCGGCCTCCATGCTTGCCTTGGTATGGCGTCCGCACAGAAAAAAGGCGCGGAACGATTGTCTGCCGTTGCTCTGACGGAGGGAGGGGCGACTGACGACACGGCTTACAGGGTTGGCTTCAGGGAGCTAAAATCAACAAAGGGTGTGCCTGTACATCAAGGAGTATTTCAGGCAGGACTGCACGGAGGGTTCCAATAAGAAATGGTGCACCTAAGTTATCGTTGTTATTGGAACAAGGAGGTTAGCCTGGCCTCTGATTGATACATGGCTAGATTTACCTCGCTGCACCTTCTCTGTGAGTGACTGCAGTGTGATCTAGACAGGGGAGGAGGCAAATGTGTACAAAACAAATCTGGTCTATTTCTTGTTCTGACCCACTCCATCTATCTTTTACATCTTTGGCTGGCAGCAGACGGTGCAGAAGGACTGCATGCCATCCACATCTCATGGCTGCTCGGCAGAAGATGGTACAGTACGACTGCTAGCCATCCTCATCTCTTGCCTGCCTGGCAGAAGATGGTACAGTACGACTGCTAGCAGTCCGTATCGCCTGCCCGCTCACCATAAAATGGTTCAATAGGACTGACTGCAGGACTAAAGAGAATGACTTGCTCAAGTCACTCCAAATTTAGTCCCTGCGCCCATGTCTGCCCAGGCGCTCCCAGCCGACGTGGCCAGGAGCACCTCGGACACGACGAGGACGACTACCAATCGTATTGCACCGTCTGCTGCCAGAAGGCAATGGGTTGCTGCTACTGTGCAGCAAAGCCGTACCGCGTCTGCCAGCACCCAGGAGACATATGGTGACGGTTACCTGAGCTGGCTCCATGCTTGCAGTGGTATGGCGTCTGCACAGGTAACTCAGGAAAAAAGGCGCGAAATGATTGTCTGCCCTTGCTTTCACAGAGGGAGGGAGGGAACAGGGGCCTGATGACACGTACCCAGAACCACCCGCGACAATGTTTTAGCCCCATCAGAGTGCTCCATTGTGACTGCTCTGGACAGCACTCTCAGATGCCCGATTGTTTGCCATTGCTCTGACGCTGGGAGGGGCGCTTACAGGGTTGGCTTCAGGGAGCTAAAATCAACAAAGGGGGTGGCTTTACATCAAGGAGTATTTCAGGCAGGACTTCACGGAGGGTTCCAATAAGAAATGGTGCACCTAAGTTATTGTCCTTATTGGAACAAGAAGGTTAGCCTGGCCTCTGATTGATACATGGCTAGATTTACCTCGCTGCACCTTCTCTGTAAGTGACTGCAGTGTGATCTAGAAGAATAAGTCCCCTAGACAGGGGAGGGGGGGAAGCAAATGAGTACAAAACAAATCTGGTCTATTTCTTGTTTTGATCCACTCCATCTATCTTTTACATCTTTGGCTGGCAGCAGACGGTGCAGAAGGACTGCATGCCATCCACATCTCATGGCTGCTCGGCAGAAGATGGTACAGTACGACTGCAAGCAGTCCGTATCGCCTGCCCGCTCACCATAAGACGGTTCAATAGGACTGACTGCAGGACTAAAGAGAATGACCTGCTCAAGTCACTCCAAATTTAGTCCCTGTGCCCATGTCTGCCCAGGCGCTCCTGATCGACCTCACAGAGGCGACCAGGAGCACCTCGAACATGACGATGACGGCTACCAGTCGTACTGTACCGTCTGCTGCCACAAGGCAAGGGGTTGCTGCTACTGTGTAGCAATGCCGTACCGCGTCTGCCAGCACCCAGGAGACATAGGGTGACGGTTACCTGAGCGGGCTCCATGCTTGCCGTGGTATGGCGTCTGCACAGGTAACTCAGGAAAAAAGGCGCGAAATGATTGTCTGCCCTTGCTTTCACGGGGGGGGGGGAGGGAACGGGGGGCTGACGATATGTACCCAGAACCACCCGCGACAATGTTTTAGCCCCATCAGGCATTGGGATCTCAACCCAGAATTCCAATGGGCAGCGGAGACTGCGGGAACTGTGGGATAGCTACCCACAGTGCAACGCTCCGGAAGTCGACGCTTGCCACGGTACTGTGGAAGCGCTCCGCCGAGTTAATGCACTTAATGCACTTAGAGCATTTTCTGTGGGGACACACACACTCGAATATATAAAACCGATTTCTAAAAAACCGACTTCTATAAATTCGACCTAATTTCGTAGTGTAGACATATAAGTGCCCGTCTCTAGGGAGCTCAGCAGCTGACATAACTGTGTGACACACCTGTTCCCTATCTCCAGCTTTTGTGAGACTCTGTAAGGGGCAGGGGAGGGAGCAGGATTCTACCTGTCAGTTGCTGGTGATCCTGTTTCTCTTTTCTGCACCCAATGCCCTAGGCTGATATTAAAAAAGCCGAAGAGTCCATTTAATATATTGCAAATAGAGTTCAATCTTACAAGACCACATTTGCCGGAGAAAACCTTCTGCTCAAGAAATGATAAAAAAAGACTAGCTCTGGGGGTTATTACCCAAAAAAGGGAATTTTAATACTGACTGTGACATGGAAGTGTGTTTGACAGCAGGTGGAAAACACACACACACCTACTCAGCAGCTTGGTTGTTAATATAAAAGGGCTTTAATGGACTTTGCAGTCACAGTGAACCTCTCCGCTGGTCTAATTGCATTTGGGAGCTTGTAGAGAAGTACAAGTCATTTGTTAATGCCTGGCTGCCCCCCTGGGGGAGGAGTCACCACTGGCTGTTTAGAAATTACGCTTCCCAAACACTCTGGGATGGTTCTCCCTTCCGCTGAAGTGCTTGATCTTTAAGGGATGTCGAGGTTAGACTGTTGCTATTTTCCTCAGTGGAGTGCTGGGAAGATGCCAGCCAGGAATCTAGCTGTTTTGCTCACGGTGGCAAGTGGCCAAAGCAAAGCTCCATTTATTTGTTATTTTTTGTTTGAAAAGAAAAAACAAGCAAATTTTCACTTAGAATTTAGCTTTTGTTAGAAAAGGGGGTTTAAACAATGGCTCCGAGTCCTCGGGTTCAATTCACAGCTACTTCTGCTCAGCCCTTTGTCCTTTTCAAGCTAATAAACTGAGCTCTCTCCAGTGTTCCATGGAGAGAGAAGGGAGGGTATTTCAGAAGGGGCCTTAAACACTAGCTATTCTGCATGCACATTTTTGATCTCTTAAGATTGCCTCAGGGCAACTGGCCAAAAATTCTCCTCTTTCCCAGCTACATGCACAGGGTAGGATTCTGTTGCAAAATTGCTTTTTTGTATTAAAAAAAAATCCATGTATCTGGTATGTCAGGGAAATCAGCAGCACATGAAATGGGAAGGTACATCCAAGTGCAATTATTCTTATGTCCTACAGCCTGCCAGCAGCTGCCTACCAAACACAGCCACCTTAAGCCTGCCCCAATGCAGTTAGGTATTTAAAGCATGAACTAGGTCGGATTCTTCCTGTGGCTTCTCAGTGTTCTTTCCTGTCATATGTTCTCTTCTGTGAAGTCCTCCCTGCACCATTAACTCCACTCAATACAGGAATGAATGGCTGCAGCTGAATCTGTTTAAAGTTCCCCATTTTGGTTCCCACATTCAATAGCCAAGCTCCACAAAACCCTGTTTCTAGGAACAGTTAAAGTCATGTGTCCTAGACAGAGCCAGATTCTGCACTCTGTTCCACCCT